GTGGGCATCTGGGTCACGAGCCGCGTCCTGGCTAACTCTGCCGAGGCAGAGGAGTTGGGGGCGGGGAACCCTGTGAACGACATGAGCTCCCGATTCCAATCCTTCAGATTTTAGGGCATGTCTGACGGAAAGGCGAGCTGATCATTGTGCACCACAGTCGGTCATCCAAAAGACAAATACTGCTCGCCATACCAAACTGCAACGCCAGAGTAGAGGCTGCCGGTGCTATGGCTCGAGGAGCCCGGCTCAGCCTTGCAGCAGGCACCTTCCACCCTCTAATGGAAGGGAGTTGGGTTTTGCAGGGAGAGCTATAGAGGCCCGTGCTATGCATGGATGGTAGTCCGACAACTTGGTTTGGAAGCTTTGGTCTGCTGCGATGTGCCTACTGACAGGATCCTGAACAGTTTTTTGAGCTATGCCGCTGTAATTACTCTCGCAACTGCAACTACAGCTACAACAACAGAGAAGAAGCTAGGATTGTTTTCTAGTTGACAACAAGGTCTGAGATTCTGTGTCCTTCTAGTGGAGACCAAATAGGCTACTCAATGACTCTCGCTGCCCGGGGCCTTTTCAGACCCCGTGAAGTATGTGCTCTAGAGACAGGCTGCCTGGCCACGCTGGGCTGCCTATGGTGCCGAGGCAGATGGAGTCGATGACGTTGGGAGGTCACAGGTGCAGATTCGTGTATAGATAGAGAGATAGATATATACACACAGATATATATATATATATATATATTATATTGATAGAGATGTATATATACATGTGCGGATTCATAAGCTCTCTGAGTTTCGGCTTGGTGCCAGACTCTGGGTTCGCGGTTGTGACATGTTGTGACCACCGCCCATGGCGACCACAACTCTACGCTCAACGTATGCTCCTAGACCCCCAAATTGCCGAGTACACACCGGAAGAGACCTCATAAGGGTCAGCAAACAGAATGCATGTGTTTTTCATATTTGTTTCTTGACATGCGTGTACAAACATCTTCCTTGATGCCAGTCCAGGCCACGAATGGCTGGCCGGCATCTTGGGCGCCGTGCATCTCATTGCGCAGGCTCGAGGTGTTGTAGACCCGCAGCTCGAAGCCCCGAAAGAGACGTGTTCCCTCGAGAAGAAAGCACGATCCAAGGCTACACACGTGTATGACATTGGCGCTGCTGCAGTTGCAGCATATGCTGGGATGGAGCGTAAAGCTTGGCAGGCTCCGAAGGCATAGGGCCAACTCATTCTTGAAGGGCCGGCAAACCCGGCAAACCACATGCCTAAAGATCATGGATATGAGTAGATAAGAATTTCGTCGCAACGGAATGACTTGCCACATGGCCCAATGAAGACGCACATCCGGCCAAAGCACCCGACTGAAAGCAACGCTCAACAAATCCGCGCTGCTCCGGTCAAGGCGAATTCGAACAACTTGCTGCAACTGGTACGCATTCCAGCTAAGGGCTTGAGGGTGGGGGTGCTTTCTTGTAGAATTGGAGAGGCGCCGCATCTCGTCAACGCTTTCGTTTACCGGGCCCCTGAAGGGAACAATGGTACAAAAAATATCTAGCTGAATCTGACACATCCGAGCCTGCCGAACAGTTTCAGTGCGCTGCATGCTCCATACGCGTGTCTTGACCCCCGTTGCCCACCACTAGTACTGTTGTTCGATTTCGTCAACACAAAGTAGGTCAGCTGCAACAAGGCACATGGACACTCTTCTTCTCACACTTTCTGGCCCACCTTTAAGGGTATAAATACGGTATGTATAACCTGTCATCTCCGTGGGGCCCCCTTCAAACCCTACCGAGGTTGGCCTTCGCGACCTGCTCAGCAACAGCTGCCGACCGTACACGAACGCTGGCGCGGCTGAACCTTCTGAGCTCCACGACGGAAGGGGCATGGAGGGGCTGCTTTGTGGCGCACGAGAACTCAGCTAGTTGATGGGCTTTATCCTCGGGCTTCCCAGACTCCAAGCCTCAGCTTTTCGTGGTCACGCCAGGGTCCACACCGGATTCTGTTTACGGGTGGCTCTTTGTCACTGAATGTTCTGCGAAGTCTGAAGTTCATGTCATAAAGCCCGCCGGCTTCGTCCCTCCCTCGACGGTTGCTCGAAGAAACCCTTGCCAAGAAATATCGGAATATCTGATATCTACTGATCAAGCCGTTTTCCCTGACTCACCCGTAGGCTCCAACCCAGCCACTATACTGCGAGTGCTAGAGAAAGGCCCTACAACATTCCGCAACATTGCCACACCAACCTCACCAACCTGCTCACCCATGCGTCATGAGGTTTTCTCAGCGGGAGCAGCGCAGCTCAATTGGTCGTTCACCAACCCGCTTTGTGACTAGAGAAAAATATTGTGGGGTTAAATTAAAATGGGCGGAGTGATACTGGCCAATCGCTTAAGCCGCTTAACTTTTGAATTTGGAAGCTTGCAAGGGTGGAACACCCAACGGTGCAAAGATCTGGGGCTCACGCGGGCATGTGGCATGTGTTCCGGTTCCAGGCCTCAAGATTCCATCATTTTCAATGTGTGTCATGTGAGGGCTAACGGCATCTTTGTGCAAGGATTCTCTACCAACCCGCCAAGAGGTTCACAAGAATGCCATGCCCATGACAAATAGTTGATGCAGTTCTTCCGAATCTAAACATCCGGCATGAACTCACAAAGCGAAGCTTGCGACCCTGTCCTGCCGACCCTTTTTGAGAAGGGCCGTTGTATGCAAGGGGGGGCAAGTGGGCCCACACCCGCTGCCACTCAGGTCTGGTGCCATCAGCACTTGGCATCGCGGCTACATCCTGGCTATAGCGTTTCAAGATGTTTACGCAAGCACAAACAGGCCCACGGGTCTCCCCGGCTCTGCCAGGGGCCTTTACTCACAGCTCTTGGAGCTGCAGGCTTTTAGGTTCAAGCGAATTCTGGGTTGCCTACCCACAATTGTGTGGGGGACCCCGCTTCGCAAACCAGCGGTAAATTGGGCGGTGCCAGCTTAGCTGCCTGTTCTGTGGCCCTCGAACTCGAAGGCCCGACATGATACGAGATACGAGACGCGACGGTGCAAAAACACGACGCAGGATACAACAATTCGCTCAAGACACCGGCGCCGCAAGACGAGGCCCGAGAAATACGAGACGCGACGCCAATGACATATGACACGAGCCGCAAGATCCCACACGCGACCCGAGACACCAGACACAGAAGGCGCAACGTGACACAGGACACACAACGCTTGCAAGGTTTTTTTCTTGGTGCACCAGCACGCATGAGGATCATGACCCAGACAGATACAACATTTTTGGGTGCTGCCTCTGTCCAGAGAACCGTTGCTGAAATGGCATGTTCCTGGCTGTAAGCGTTTCTTCTGTTCTGACACTGGGGCGTCGACAGCCACTGTCTTCGCCACGTCATGCAGCGAGTCCAGATTTTCTCAGAAAGCCTGATGATGCTAGATGGTGTAGACATGCAACGTTGAGTAGTCGGCAAAACGCAGTGGCACAGATTTTGCAGATGCTGCACGTATCTGCACGTACTGGCATGTAAGGTCTGGCAGTGACGGTCGAGGCAAGGCTGTCACAGCTGAAAAAGGGTATCTAAGACAGAGATTGGGCAGTGTGGCGGCGGTGTTTCTGCTGAATTCGTTATCCTTTGTTCTACAGTGTAGCTCCGGAGCCTGTACTAGATTTCGGTTTGCAGTTTGCAGTTTGCAGATTATATGACTATATGCTTAGGGCAGAATGAAGCGGCGCTGACTGGCCCAGCCCTTTCAACATGAGCTCGGATGCCAGCATCTACTCAACTTCTACACTTTCCCTTTTGCTGCCTGAGCTCCTGCGATCCTCTCTCTCGCTCTCTCTCCCTCTCTCTCGTTTCCTCTCCCCTCTCTTTCACCAATCCCTAGAAGTGGTGGACAAATGTCAGGCGGGCAGCTTCCACGGCGTCGGAAAAATCCTTTGCGCAGCCGCGGCGCTCTATGCCGTGGCGGCATTCATCTCCCCACGAGCGAATAGCAAGCCTAGAAGCTGATGGGGCAGATGTGATCAGATCGATTGGCCCCCTAGTTGGGTTGCGGACATTTGCCTCCGACGTTCGACGGTGTAATTCGAATCATGTGCAAGATGCAGGAAGCTGAGTCGTGGCTGCGACAGCCAAGTAAGAAAATTGTTCGCAGACCTCAGTCTGATTAATTGGCTTGGTTTGGCTTTGAAGTTCTGCGAATTGGGCAAGTCATGACAAGGCTTCGATGCCACAGCCTTCGGGCAAGTTTCCGGCAAATACTTCTAATTGTATTCATCCTGAGAGTTTTGCCCTTCGGGCAAGGTTCCTGGCAAATACCTTTTCATTGTGCATCAAGAGTTTCGCCATGTCGACGCCCGTTGATGTCTGTAGGATGCCGCACGGGCCGCCTGTGGAAGTCATTCTCAGCTTTACTTTAACTGTAGTCGACTCTTGTTCGGCCGCTTTTTTTGTTTGTATGTGGGTGTGTGATCAGGCCCTACCTCCATCTGGGACATCACGGGGTATCTCAGTCAGGCCTGCTTCAGGTGCCCCCGCCACTTGAAGGAAGCATGCCTATCAATACCTGTGGAAAGCCACGCTGAAAATAATCAATACAGCCGCGACGAAGGCGAAAAGCCTCATCTCCCAATGCTGAGCCCTAAGCTTGGGCCAAGGTTTGCCTCAGCTGCCGAGTTGAAAAGAGAGTCGTGCATACTCAAATCCATCCACCCAGTCCCCTTTCTGCCTGACTTGACTTCAGCATCCTCTTAACGTTCTGGGTTTGAATTTTGGACTTATTTATCTGTTGTTGTGCTTGAGGGGGCTGGTCCAAAACCTGCGAGGACTCCCGCAATTGGGAAGCCGCCCAATAGCTTGCAGGAACCCGCAAGCGCGAAGCCACTCCCTACAGAATCTTCCGTCAACAAAACAGCGTGCGGTACGAGGACAAGACTCCATCCTGATGAAAAAGAGAAGGCAGGCTTCGAAGATTTCGACGGTGCACGATGTGCTAAGGAAATCGGTGGACGCCGGCAGGTGAAGGTTCCCTTCTCCTCAGTGAAAGGGCAAGGCTACACAGTGGTCAAGGAGCCGCTTCCAAGGGCTCTGTATATCTCCGTGCTTTCTTTGTGTTTGCTTGCAATCGTTCATCAATTCCTTTGTCGATGTCCTCAAATATGTCAAGCTCAAGCTCGAACCTTATTAAGGACTTTGTCGACAGAAATGTGTGTTTTTGTGCGCAACGTTTGCAACGTTCTACGCCAATTTGACAACTTTTTCTTTGAAGGCTCGAGACTGGTTGGACTCTGACTCTTTCTGTCCATTGGTGCAGATGTTGCTACGGGTGCCTCCTAGCACCGCCTAAATGGAGGGGTTGCATGATCTGCTCTGTTTGTTGTTTGTCGGTTGCTCGTTTGCGCTAGCCTTCGATGCGTGTGGTGCTGTCGTAGACTGTAAACACAAAGCTGCTGCAAGAGCTCTCATAGTGGCTGCCGTTGTTAATTACGACGTTGCGAGTCACCAAAGTGTCTCGTTCATTCTTTAACTGGTTCATGTCACACCCTCCTTAGTGTGCGACCCCCTCCCGCGAACAGTCGAAGCTGCTTTTGTCTCCATGTAAACGGTCCCCTGATTTTATATGAATCTAAATGGGACAGCCAGGTCCGACAATTGGCCGTAGAGGCACAAAATTTTGCTTCGACACCCGAAAGACTCTAGTGGACCCCACCCTGGACCCCCAAACTGTCAGAGGGTCCTGAATAGCCCGGAAAGCTTGACTGTATAGAGGAGGCCCCTACGAAAGAGGGTGCAACATTACGCAGTTCAGCTGAATCCTGCAGGAGCTGGGCCGCGGTGGGCAAGGCCTCCAGTTTTTCAGGATTGTTTTGAGCAAAAAGGCTCAGGTTCATTCAGGGTGGGGTTTCTGGCTGTGACGGTCTTTCTTGCAGCTCGGCTTTTGGCAGCCATCCACCCCCCTCACCCCCCCGCTGCTCTCAGCTAGAAAACGCACCAAGCTGCTGGTAGTAGGTGTGGATGATCCGCTCCCAGAGCGAGGGCCAAAGTCTAACAAGTAGAGTTTGGCGATGGGCTTTGCTGGCTTTGGGACTGCCAGGGAGTAGAGGATGTGGCGGAGCCAGAGACGGTGAAGAGCAAGCCTTCGCTTGTCGTCCTGCTCAATGTCACCCCTTCGAGCCTACAACATATAAAGGGGCATGGCGCCGCATCCCAGTTCAGCATCCCTGTTGAAAATAGTTTTTGATCGCCGCCACTCCGGCAGCAGACAATCAAGAGCTTTCACACCAGAGAGGAGTCAAGACCGGACTCCATTAGCGCACAAAAAAACAGAGCGTCCAAAGAATGTCATCAGCACATGATGTCAATCAGCTGGAACCTGCCTTCAAAGGCATCGGTTACCATGCATTGTAAAGATTCTGGGATGGCAGCTGGCCTTGCATCATCCCTTTTCGAATCTGCGCGACTCGACCAAGTTTGTCAAAACCAAGCCGGCGCTGATTGACGTATGATGAGAACTGCTGTTGGTCTGCCGGCGGCTTCGTGTGGGACGGGCGGTAGGCCGCTAGGCCGTGAAGCCACGAAGCCAAGTTTCCGCATCCCAAAGAGTCCGAATCTTCTTCGCTGACTGGGACCGGCGGTCTGCTTCTCGTGGCTCTTTTTGGACCAGAGCCTGTGTCCGCAGCTGTGCAATTGGGGGGCCTATCTTCTGCAACTCCCACCTCCCAGATGGTTTGGGGAGCTTTGCAAGATTTCGTGGTGTGGAGTAGATTCTGTTGTCGCTTCCGGGCTTAGTGCAGACTGCTTGGGTGGGGTTCTTTGGTGCACTGCGGCAACTGCTGCTACAGCACTTGAGCTTGAGTTATGGTTTGGCAGCCTAGGATACGACAAATGCCTTGTTCACCACAGCTTCCACCCTGAGCTTGAAACCATTTTAAGGCCCCCAAGGAATCCAGGCGTTTGTGGTGGAACGGCATCAAACGAACATGTCTTTGTTTGGGCCTGCATGGCCTGCCCCCGTTTGTGCACCTTGCTAACCCAGATCAGGGGGGAAAGTGTCTCTTGTCCATGACGCCTCGTAATGAAATTCCAGCTGGCAGGCACCATGTACCTTTGCACCAAGTGGTCTTGGTTCCGAAAGCTTCTTGGACGTGTCACGAGAAGGGTTTTGTCTAAGATTTTGAAGAAGACCTTAATGAACGAGGTGTGGCGCCATAGGTCGGTGAAAGAGGGCACTCTGGCCTCCGTTTAGTCAAGATATTGAGCTTGAAAATGCTGGGTGTTGATCGAAAAGGGGACCTAGGCTGATTGTGTTCACGTTGCAACCTCCTTGTGTTTTGCACATCGCCACGCGTAGCCCCCGCAGCCAGAACACATGCGCTCAAGTTTTTGGTTATGCGAACATAAGCATCCACCAGGAAAGCTGCTGTCGCTGCCATCATGACTCTTGCATCCACACTCCTTGCGAATTGAAAGTTGACAAGTGGCCCCGCGTGTACTTTGGCTCAGCGCATCCTCGGCGTCTGAATCATGGGAGCAGGAGAATCAGAAGATGACTCAGTGGTGGCTATAGACTCTTAGGGATGTAAAGCCCCCTAGGCGGCCCAATCGCCCCCAGGTCGAAGTACTGCATCAAGTTCTACGAGCTGCTTGGGCTTCGAATCCACATGGGTGGTTGTCAAAGTTATGGTCCCTTTTTGGATCCCTGTTTTAATCCGGCGCCTAATATTTAGGGTACCCCAAAAGGTATCATAATTTTGACAGCCACCCACATATCTCCCAAACTCAGATCTCTACTACAGATGGAACTTGTCACAATGCTAGCAGGTGTTCTCAGCTGAATAACATTTCTGAGGCCCACTCTCCCGATCTTCAATCACTTCAATCACGCGTGATTATAGAAACATGGTGCACAATGGTGACTTAATAGTGTCCACACAGGAGCAAACTTTTGCACAAAGAAGCTGTGCTGGGGCGCGGCCCGATATGTCCCGAACTCCAAAACGCCGCGGGGCCATTCGGGATTCTGCCCGCCCCCCACGCATGGTTGCCCTGAACACCAAAGCGTTTACAACGTTTCGCAGCTCCAGCTAGGAAAGCTGATGCAAACGCTGGTGGTCTGGATGCAGCTCGTCCTTCCTATGCAGGTGTCTTCTCTTTCTGGTGCATCATGCAGGAGCAACGCAGTACATGTCGGAAACGCTGGGCATAAGGAGCTGATGGACGAGTATATGCTTATGGCAAGTCTGGACGATCGCCACATTGCCAAGACCTACGAGGCAATGTTTGTGAGCAACATGTGGTCTGGCGTATGGCCGTCGCATGCACGCCCTGTTGGCTGCACAGTTGGCACATCGCTTGCGTAGCCGATAGGCAAAGCGGAGCCTCTTAGCTGGCATCCCCCGCAGGTGTTTCAAGACAGCTCCTTCTACTATCTCGCCATGCCCCGGCATGTCATTTATTTGGAGGTGGATATTGGTTTCAGGTTTGCTGGGGGCTCGGGGCCTGCGAGAAGATTGAGGAGAGGAGCTCTGAGACATGAGGCATGGGACAGCACAGCAAGCAAACACACCGCTGCCTTGTTGTGGTACGCAGCCCCGATCACAAGCTGACGGGCTCCCTGCATGACCCACACATCACGACAGCTCAGTGCACATCACTGCTGGTATCTTGGGCGGGAAATACATGTAGACGGAAGAACCAACTTGCACATTTATCAAGTCCGATTTCATTGAGCCTGATCCGGAGTCAGGCCCATGACTTGCGAGGCAGGGTTGACTTTATGTAGATGTCTTCATCGCAGCTACACTCACACCAAATCAACAACCCTAAGCCCTCAATCCAACGGAGCTTAAATGAGGATGTGCCGGATCACGATTTTCGCCCATCAACTGGCCAGGTCAATGAGCCGTACTTTGGCGGAGATCTTTCGAAGCTGGGCAAAAATGCCTCCCAGCAGGGCGTGAGGACTCGGCCAGCTGTGTGAGCCAAGTCTTGGAAACGTTTTGTTTCAGGGCAGCAACAACTCCCAATGCCTAAACCCCCTAACTCAGGTTTCATATTTAATAGAGTTTTTGAAACTGGCTTAGAAACTGCCTTACATGCCCCGCTGGCATCATGGGTTCCATTGCCTTCAACAGTTATGGCTGCAGGATGGGTGAGAATTGGTGGCGGCAGATTTTCCGGCAGTGTTTGGATGGGCCTCTCGAGGGCATTGCGGGTGGAAGGACGGGGGCGAGGAGTTTCGGCTTAGGTTTTGTGCAAGTCAATTAGCTGCTACTGCAAAAGCATGTTTTGTGTTGGGGCACAGAGTCCTCACACAAGATCGGTGCGCACTGATGCCGCTTACAAGTGCGACCGGCAAAATCAATTAGCCCGTGAAATTCATGCGGTACCACCAGCAGAAGATGTCAAGTGCCACGTGTCGCCGAGGCTGTGCTATCTACACGCCAATGGCGTCATGCACTGTGACATCAAGGCCAGTTCGTTGATACCATGCCCACCTGACAAGTTTGCATTTTCCGACTCTGGCGGAGCCTCCATCCTGCCGTTCGTCTACATCTCATCGCATGAAACTCATGCTATCCAAGCTCCTTCGCCACCCCTCTATGTATGAACGTATGCCATAGACAGCCTCTCGTCAATAGCGCCTGCAATTGTGTTTTGACGTATCTTCCTGTCTTCCTGAATCCACAGTGCTGCTGGGACGCCAACAACCGAACGAATTTCGGTCAGATACGCATGCACTACATGTACATTCTTTATCCGTTGAAGTTATCCTCCAGCCCTCCTTCATCCAGACGAAAGCAAAGCCTATAGACTACCATAGATGTGAGAATGATGGCTGAAATTTGAAGGAGCCCAACATCATGATTTCCAAGAGCGATTCCTTCCAGGTGCTCGGCGGCGAAGTTGTAAAGGATTCTGGTGCACTGGCACCACAAGAGTGGCACCACAAGCGCTTCAGTTCGTGGGATGTAGAAAAGCGTATCTCGGGTGCTGATGGGCAAGGTGTGGGCTTGATTGTCATCGGCACCGGTAGGCCAGCCTCAACGTTTGCACAGCTCACACGGATCGCATGACAATGCCGTCGCCGGCCTTTGAGTCTTGAAATCAGTCAATCTTTGTGGGGTACTTTGAGAGTGCACTCAACGCAGGAAGCGCTCCCGAATTGAACAACTTTGTGACAGTCGCATTGCTGTGGCGTTTGGGCACTTAAGTGTGCCATTGGGCATTTGATGGCTGTGGTGCAGCGAGCGCACTATCATATCAATGCACCTCTCTAGCTTCAAGAACGTGATCATTCATGCTTCTTCCAGGACACTGATGCGTTGATGTGGATAACAGCACATCATACAGCCAGGCACCCCTTGTTGTTCTCATCGATTTCGGCTTAGCTTCGGCGTTGGGCCCTCAGCAGAATCACACAGGTGCCTGACGTAGGGTCTCTGGCCTTAGTCGAATGTGAGTATCGGTGGCAGACACGAGCTTGACGCTGGTTTCTTGGGACGCGCAGTCGCGCTCTAGGTTTGCAGGGTTCTAAGTCTTGTGGTCCCAGGTGTAGTCCTCAGCTGAAGGTGGGGTTCATGAGTTCTCAGAGTGAGATGTGAGCACCGTTCCGTGCATGAGTGCACGATACATAGTGCGAAAGAGGAGTCGGCAAACTTAAGCATGGTGCAGGTTTACCAGCCATCGTCAGGGCGTTTGTGGAACTCCGGGCTACATTCCACCGGAGACTTGGAGGCCCCCGACAAGGGGTCTTGCATGTCTCTAACATACGTACATGCAAAAGAAGTACAAAAAAGATGAAAACAATTAAATACCCAGGCTCGGGTTTAACTCGTGAACATAAGCGGTCTCCCCAACGACAGCTGAGTCTGACAGCTTCAATCACTCCAACTTACCTGAGCCCAGATGGCCGGTTGCAGAACTTGAGTGTACCACTAAGCCAATGAGCATCCAATGTGTGTCTGAAGCCCTTTCGCAGGCATGGAATCTGGTATCCCCGCGGTGATGTCTTTAGCATGGGCGTGGTGTGTCTCAGCTGCACGTGCAAGTGACCATGCGTGGCGAATAAAGGAAGGCTGTCTACAGCCGTCTAGGTTCCAGGTACCCGGCTACTGCAGACAGGACCGTGATCTTGCTGTGCCGATTGCACCCGGCATCAGGTTCTTCCAGTGTATGTGCGGCATGGTGCTGACCTCAGTCTCGTGGGATCCGGAGTCAGGGGAGAAGATTTGAAGAAAACCCCAGCAGGCCCGAACTTTAATTACATAATATGGGACCTGCACAGTCCTGAACACTCGAAGTGGCTTGGGCAAGTACACGACACGACTTGGTCAGGGCTTAGACCCCGTTCCCGCGTTTGACCTCTTCTCCTTTGACCAGGGGGATCGGGATTCAGGCACTTGCATTGGGGCCAACTGGGGCCTACATGAACACTGCCTTGCTATGCCAGCCTCAAGCGCTTCATGCAGCCATGTCTGGCCATGGCCCCGGACACAAGCATCAGCAATGGCAACTGCGCATGGCACAGGGTCGCACCATGAGCTTCCAGACACTCTGTGCAGTGAGGCTACTCAGGACCCAAGGCTTTTGTCATCATTTGCCGATGTACTAGGACTACGACGCACTTCAATCTTCTTCATACTCGGGGCATGCTTCAAAGAAGTATTGTAGCACGTGGTGCGTGCCAAGCTTGGCCATTCCCTTAGAAAGCTGCTGGCAAGCATGGCCTGCGGATGTGATTTGGATGCATCTGCAAAGCTCAAAACTCGGCTTACAAAACCAAAGCCCTAAAGAACTCCAAGTTACCAAGTTCGACCCCAACCTGTGTGATTTGTTCATGTCTACAAGCTTACAGCATGGATGCGCCGCAACACTCCAGGGTCGAACTCGGCACTAGCTGCACAGAACCATCAGGACCCCGCGACCAGCGCAAAGAAAGAGAAACCCAAACTGCGGCTGCCTTCTTCGAATTTGTGTTGGGCTGTTTCGGTCGAGTTGCGCTGTCATGATACCTTGTAGAGCCACTCCACCACCGGATAACCTCTCGACCCCAGATGAATATCCGACATGAAGCAGAAGGCCACATCTTTATCGGATGTGGCCTGCCCCAACAAATCAAGGAGACCACGTTCTAAGGCACTCGCCAATGGCCACAGAAAGGCAGGCCTGTTTACTGGATGCAGCCACTGCTACTGGCTCTGGCTGCAGGCACGGAGTGTGAGACAAAGCTCTTGAAGCCGCAAAAGGTCGGTTCCTGGTGTAGTCAGTTCAATACCAGTACACCAGTACAGTTTGGGATGCACTTTTTGTTCATGACATTGAAGATTGCGTTGTTTTTTAAGCTGAGCCGGCTGACCCGGGCTGTCCTTCACCGAACAGCTTCCCCCACACCGTTCCACCCGGCGGCTTCGAAAGTTTCCTGATTGCTTTCGAATACTTCGACGGTGGAGACCCTCCAAAACCCCCTTCGTCTGAAGGCGAAACGCCTTCGAGATCGCCAATCCCAGCACTTCTGAAGTCTTCGAAGCCGCCCGACCCCTTGAGTATCCCCCCCCCCCCCCCCCCTCCTGATCTCACAGCCTGAAGTAAGCATCATCGAGCACCTTCTACATACCTTCCCCAACCCTGCTGACCGACCTCCAGGCGCAACCGCTGTTGCCTTTGCCCGGCCACGGGGCTTCGGCGTGGCGACCTCGCCAGCCAAGGCTGCCAAGACCTGTTATGGGGTGAGCATGTGTTTAGGGACATTTTGGGAGCAGGGATTGTGATGTCGGGCTTGTGCGTAGTAAGACTTACAAACACACCTTCAAGTTCTTTTGGTCTTCGAGTCGAAAAGGCCTCAGTGTGCTTGGTACTGCCGAAGCTGATTCTCCACCCAACACTAGCCAGGAAGAAGGATTTGGGAATCTGCACTCCCCCCACAGCTATGCTGCGGTTCTGTTGTTAAAAGCCCTGGATGTTGAGGAGATATGACGGAAAAATACAAAAGCTGGTCAGAAGACCTCCGCCCCCTGAAAAGCATCAGGCGACAGTCTGTGTCATTTACGGGAAAGAGCTATAAACAAAACTAGACGGACTAAGCAACAAGCAGCTCAAGTCCTCTCAGTTGACTCAAGGCCTCTTCGCACGTCAACGTGGAGCTATCTCAAACATGTAGAGCCTATCCAAAGCTTGGACAGTTTCCTCGCTCCAGCTGACACATCATCGCACACGCAGTCCGGGGTCTGCTCCCGAAACTTGAACCAGGCTTTACGTCGCCCCGTAAGCAACAACTCTGGAAACTTCTGCCTCACCTCGATTGGCGCAGAGAACAACTGGCTTCTGTAATCGGCGTGAAATCGAATCAGCACCTGATTGTCCAAGTCCAGATGCCAACGCTCCACACTGCCTGGGTGAACTGCCGCCAACAGATAAGGAGCCATACAATCTGGCCTGTTCTCGCAAAGCGCCATTCCGATGGGACTGCACTGGAAGTTCTGACAGCGGAATTGGATTTTCCTGTACACTACGGCCACTAGTTTGAGTGCGATTTCCAACTGTAGCAAGACACCGAACCCAGGCCTCAGACCCCTTACGACGCAATACACTCCACAAGCCTCTCAGGAGCTCCCACAGACTGATGAGAACCACGACAAGACTCACGTCCTCCCAAGTAAACCCAGACTCACTCCGCGCAGGACTCGTTCCCTGAACTGGCTGAACACACGACGCCGCGACAAGCAGCGTGAGCAGTGAAGCAAGACGAGGGTCGGCGATACTCGGCGAAGCCAGTGAACACAGCTGTTGATCCCCTTCATGCTGTTGCGGTTGTGACTGCTGCTCGCTCTCTCCTAGCACGCACTCAACAAAACCAAGCAAGCGGAGTAAAAACTGCATGCGTCCTTCGGGCATGGACTTCGTCAAAACATCACTCGTCATCTCACTTCCCGGCACATGTTGCACCGCAATAGATTCTTCAGCCAAAGCCTCCCTGAAGTGTCTTGCACGCAACCTCAAGTGGCGAGTGCGCCAGGCACCACCTGGCACTACCAGCAACTGAACGCAGGCTGAGTTGTCCACATTTGCACTCCACAGCAAAGACTCGCGGCATAACTCCATCCAAACAGGTCCCAGAGCTCGTCCCAGCGTCATGCCTTCGACCGCTGCTATGAGTTCTGCTTCTGCTGTGGATTGAGCGGTCAGTGTTTGCTTGCTGCTGTGCCAGCTGACCACTCCACCAGCCAAGACTAGCAGCACACCATGTTGGCTTCGACCTCCGTCATCCTGGCCAAAACTTGCGTCAGACCAAGTCTCCATGGTGATCTTCTTCCTGTTGTACCGAAGAGGGTTCTCCCCCCTCCAAGGCTCGTCAAAGGCACCGTAGCGAAGCATCGTCGTTGAGGTCCTGGCCAGATAGGCCAATGTTCGTAAGCCATCCTCATACACCATTCGCGGAAATCTGGACACCAGTTGCCCCAACTTGTTGATGGTATAGGAGACATCCAACCTTGTCTTTCCAGAAAGCCAGAGTAGTTCACCAACCAGCTTCTGAGAACGTCGGAGCGCGGGAAGACTGATTTCTTCCTGTTCCTCATACCCCACCCGGAAATCTGGAAGCGTGGAATTAGCAGGAAGGGTGTAGCGACCCACCAAGTCCTTCAGGTAAGAAGTCTGATGCAAGAGGTACGCGCCATCGCTATCCAGGTTGACCTCCAAGCCGCAAAACCTCAAACCCTCAGATACTGTGGTTGGAGCGCTGGTCTTCCACAAACCTTCCAAAGCATCCTCGATTGCATCCAATTCCGCAGTCGGTCCGCTCAAAAGTAGATCGTCTACGTAAACTCCGACTATCGCCAGAATTTCGCCTTTCGAATCGACGATCTCCACTACACCGTCAGCACCAAGAGCAGCAGCCAACACTAGCCACAGTGAGGAGTCGGACTCCATCTGCTTCATTTTCCGCAAATCCCCATTCGGGCCAGGCCAGTGCCACTCTCGGAAAGTTCCGTCCCGAAAGCAACTCCAATCTGAAGGACTCTCAGCGAGCCCGTATAAGGCACGATCCACCAACAGCATGCTGCCACGCTCCATCAACTCTGCTTCGAAGACAAGTTTCGGGATAAGCACTACCACGCGTGACCCATTTCTTCGGCGAGCAGGCGCCAACAAGAAAGCAGTTTTGACATCAACGGCTCGTGAGTCCCACCGGTGACCAGCAGCCCACCTCAGTTGGATGCGCAGCGCTTCCGCCTCCAACCCCGCCGCGTACAGCTCCTTACGCTCCACCGCCTTGGAAACTGTACTCGAAGTGGATGACGACACATCAGCAGGCGCCAAAGGATCAATAATGCCTGCCGCTGGAGGTTGCGTGTCCGGTAGATGATTTCCACAGGCCACTAGGCGTGACCTCTTCCGCCTGTCAGGCGGTTTCTCAGTCAAGACAAGCTTGCCCGGAATCATCTGTATCACCACTCCAGCTGCTTCCAAAGCTTCAACGTCCTTCTGCGTTATGACTTTTACAGCCTGATGAGTGTGGATAAGCGCGTTAAGCTCATCACTGATCGCAGCTTTCCATTCATCCAAGTGCTGGCGAGCCTCAGCCAGTGGCACTTGGCGGGTTTGAAGGAGAACATCAGGATCAGGCTCCCCGATCAATGGAATACCGCCTGCTCCCAGATCCTGCAAAGCTGACTCCACTTGAGCCCTCATCAGACTCAATGATGCACCTTCGAGGAGATCCTCCGCGTCCAAAGCCAACTGTCTGAGTTTCAGAACCCGCACCAAAGGAAACTGGATCCCACGCGTAATGTCCTCCAAGCATGCCATGAGACCCATCAGGTCTTCTAGGTCTTGAGCCTCGGCTTCGCCTCTAAAGCTCATCGGACGGGGATCGTCATCACCGTAAGAAAAGTACTCGGAGACATCGCAATAAGGATCAAGCCAGCCTCTTCCTGCCGCACCTTTTGGAGAACTCGCGCCAACTTGAAGCGGATTTTCGTGCGAAGACACAACAGCATCAGCCAGCCTCGCAAGACTCCCCCCCGATGCGTCATCGGGTTTGGAATCAGCATGCCAAACTAGAGAATGCAGCATGTAGCGCTCCCCATCCTCCACAAACTCCTCACCTCCCCGAGCCAGGGCAACCGGAAACTGAAGCTGGAGCAATCCCGACGACATCACCGGACTAGAGCTCCCATCATCCCGGA